ACCACAGAGGCACCTTGTGAGGCGGCGGCCAGGACTTGTATGGCGAAGCGTTGTTTGTTTGTTCTGAAAGTCTGGCCATAGGGGTTTCTCATCCGATTCATCGCTGAAACCTCGGGGAAGCGGTAACACTTGAGTCATTTGCATTTGTTTCAGCCAAGATGTCGTTGTGCTCGATACGTAGGCGACCTTTCGATCATAACACAACCCGAAGAGTCTGCTGCTAGTTTACTAACGTTAGCGTGGTGGTTTACTGCTTTGTCAGTGTCTGCAAGGTGATACTTTGCTCTGCTCATATGCTGTAAAGGTATAGTAAATGACAGAAGTAGCGTTATGTGATAGGAAGACTTGTTAAAGAAAGAGAAAAGTAAGGTTTTGAGTCAGCAGCTCGCATTGGTGGTATCGAGTAGCCTCTTTTCTTCACTGGCTTTTGGCTTCAAATCTGGCTTTATTATCCGCCTGACAGGTTTCATCCAGCCGCGAGATGTTTGCCTCAGCTACCAGGAACTTTGTGGAGGAGGTGGCTCCTGGAGGTTCTCTGATCCCAGTGTCCAGCCCGAGTGACACTGTAGGTCTTCTGACAGTGGTGGTGAAGCGCAGGCGTTTCTGGTTGTGGCAGAAACCCAAATATCTTCCCACTGATTTTTACCTCAATGACATACTATCTGGAGACAGCCCTATAAAGCCAGGTAAACATCAAACCCTTTTGTATGCTCATTTGTTTTAATGTTATTTGTTATATATAGCCAGTATTACAATAATTTATTCTTTTAACTTCAGTGTTTCTCTGTCCGCAGTTGTTGCAAAGACAGACTTCATCACATATAAAGGAACATACGGTGACAACATTCAGGGGAACATAGATGCAAGTTTTGTCCACTCCAATGTGAATCTGGAGGCTAAAGACTCTTCCAAACTCCAGTCATCCTTTGGCAGTCTAAAGAAAGAGGAAGTTGATGTGCAGAGGTTGCTGCAAGACTCCAAAAACAGGTTACCTCTATACACTCATCCACTGTCCTGCCTGATAGTGTCTTTACAGAAGTTTAAAATAATAGAAAGATGGAAAGGAATTCTGATATTCAGTCTGTTAAAGATCTGCAAACAGCAACAGTGATCTTTGTCCAACCATAAAGCTGCAATGAGGCGCAGTTAAATATTAATAGTCACAAGAAAATTCTTGTTTTTGTGTAGGATTTTATTTATACATCATTTAACAGTGTTTCACTGAAATTTTGTTAATGTTGAGGCCTATTTGAGACGGTGTAAGAGGTTTTTATTGTTGTTGATCTTGCAAACCTCTCAGTAATTCAGATGTGCAAAGATGTTGTCTAATTTAAACATCATTTAAAAGGACAACTCTTCACAGAATTCCCAGTCTGTGTACATTTCATATGCGTAGTATATTTTTATTAGTTATAATCAAACTCAAGAATGTTTCTTGTGAAAGCTAACGCTGACTTAAATGTAATGTCTCAGGGTCTTGGACATGTCCCACTGTCTCATCCAGCAGACAAAGGAAAAGCACAGGCAGGTGTTTGGGATTGTGAAGGAGCGTATCGTGACCACTCAGCCCTGTTCAGTCATAGAGGAGGTGCAGCAGGGCACGCAGTGTGTAGGAGAACTGAGCCTCTGTGGACCCAAGAGACCAAAGGTAGAGTATTCACACTGGGACACTCATTCTTCTGCAGAGGTTCTGATTTAAAGCTACAGCGCCTTTGCCAGATGATGTCACCATCCATTGTGGTGCTGTGACGGTGAAAATAGCATAGAAAATGCCCCCTCTACTTAGAAGGTCAAACACAGCTTCAATCAGAAGTTAGAAGTTAGAAGTTCATGCAAAGTTAAGGTCTGAAGAGACTCATGTGAAATCATACAGAAGGGAAGCCAGTAAAGTTTGTGGCAAAAGCTTTTACTGTGTTGGCATGTTGTTCTGTTGTTTACTGATATGATCATTCATACTCGAAAGTAAAACTGAAGTGCAGTGCTTGATTTGTAAATTACTAGGTCCCGGAATATCACTTGCTGACGGACCCGGCCTGTCAATGGTGTAGTCTAATATGCTGTTGTAAAAGGCTAGTAGTACCAAAAGTATTAGACTTAAGACTTTTTTATATAAATTATTCATATATTCAATTTCTTTCATGTGTAAATGAGGTGCCGGTAACAGTTTGAGTCGCTCCAGATCCAGCTTGTCCCAGCACAAATTAACCCCCGCTGAAGTGACAAAGATGATTAGTTAAAATATTTCAAAATGCACCTACATTGTTTTGCATTTTGCGATTTTCAGTCGAATAAAAGACTATTTATCCAGTCATATATTTAATCTCTGAAGATTTCTTAAAAATAGTGTTAAAATATCATCTCATCTTGTTCTCGTGAACCCGATACGGTCACACCCCTACTCTGCACTGCTTCCAGTGCTGTTCAATCATTCATAATCTTTATTGCTAAGTATATTAAATTACAAGGAATTTGACTCCAGTTCAGTGGCTTCCAATGTGCACAAAATAAAATAGAATAAAAACAGAGTAAAAGAATAAGTAAAAAAAAAAAAGACAAAAAACAACCATCTATTGATAAAGATACAGTATGTACATACTGTATATACAAGTTAAATAGAACTATTTGGTGTGTAAAGTGATTATGTCTAGAAGTTATTGCACTGTGGTGTTTGCTGTATCTTGTTATACATATAAACATGGATTAAGTGTTCATGAGAGTGATGGCCCAGGGCTCTAGTTGTTCAACGAGTCTGGGTCACAGGAATTAATACAAGTTACAAATACAAAAATATTTTGAAAAATTAACTTACTGTAGCTTTAATGTGGTGTAAGGGTTGACTTCTCTCCCTGAAAGTTTTCTTTTTTAAATGTCCATTTGTATAGGAACTCGGTCTCTCCTTGTTATGTAATTAACATGGGATATTCCAAGAGCTATTAGTGATGAAACAATTAACTTTTTTGTTGTACCTGCCTTCCCTCAGTACGCTTTGTATTTTCTCCTACGTTTACAGAATTAATTTCTACTCTGCATGCAACTTTTATTTCCCTTTCAAGTTGAGAAGTGACATTTGTGCCATTCATCAAAATTCGGGCTAAACGTTGGTGGAAAATAAGATTCCTCTTCCTCTTTTATATTTTGGTTCCCCTCTTTGTTGTTATTACTTCGAAGTATTCAGGCTTTTATTCTGAGACTGAAATTGAAACCAGACAATTCCTTTCATATTCTGCAGTAGATGGATCACAGGACTTCTCACATCAAATGCCCGCAGTCAACCACATCCTTCACCACCAGCTCTTATTCAACAGTGACTGTCGTATTGAGTGGGTATTTTCTTTAAGACCGGGGCTGCAAGACAAATCGTTTTGTGAGCGTGATTTAGAGCCCCACATGATCTCAGTCTCACGTGACAATAATTCTGCTGTGTTTGCATTAGCAGTGAGATCCCATGCATCAAACCAAGCACCCCCTTTGCCTTGCTAAGCTATACTGTAGACACCCCCTAGTCACTAGCTCCGAACTAGACTTGTGCCACTTGAAACACCTTCACATACCAAAAGACTGGTAAAAAACAAAACTGAAGATCCGAATAACAGTGAGACAGAAATAAATCACTTTGCTGTTACTGGTTAGCACAGCCTAGTGACGGAAAGGGAGCTCTTGGTTTGATGCAAGGCATCTCCGTGCTAGTGCATAAACGGCAAGCATTGTCACGTGAGAATCAGATCACACAGGGATCTAAATCACGCCCACAAAACGATTTATCGTGCAGCCTTAAAACAGACCGATATCTGTTGAACTTGGGTGATCTCACGTCCACTGTACTGTTGCTCTTTCTGCAGGTTTCGCTGAAAGACAATGGGAGCCTGAGTAAAGACAGTGATGTTACCATGGAGATCCCCATCGATACTACCTTGGCCTATTCCCTCATGGAACTAGTGGTCAAACATGATGGACGCTATGGTGAGAAATCATTCATTAAATTCATAAGTTAACCAGTCAGTGTTTTGATGATTTGACAGCAACAGTTAAACTATCTAAAACATATCTTGATGTTTTGAAGTGTAATATGGTTTTTTTCGTCAGAGCTATGTCTGATGCCAGACACCACTGGAGGTTTTGAAGTAGACAGCCCTGCTGAGAAAGGGCTGGTTGGTGTCTCTGGAGCTCCTGTGCACACTTCTGGAAATAACTGCCTTCAACGAAGTAAGTTACTGTTTTGTCCTCAGCAGCAACAAAACAACTGACTATACAGTGGTGGCTGTAGATGGTAGAGATGCGAGACCCCATTTGGTCCTCTTATCAGAGCCATAACTATTTGGGCTTTGAGTGATATTTTAAGGTCTCTTTAAACCAGGAGTCCATGTGATTAGTGCATATTGTGCCATTAACTTTTTTATCTTCTATATTTTTTTTTTGCTGACCTGTTATGTGGCTCACACATTTTGCCTTTGGAGGAGACTGATACATTTCTTTCTTTCCATTGGCAGACCTAGAGCAACTTAGTGATCATTTCCAGCTACTCTCAGCTCTTCCTGTCACCATGAGGTCCTCTTTACTTCAGCAATTCACAAAGGTTATGCAGGATCAAGTAGCTGTCAGTGCACTTCAGAATGTGGTAAGTGGAACAGACACACCTTGGTCATAAGGATTCATTTTTATAATATGGGCAGATGGCAAAGGTACACACATTCTTTACTCAAGTAGAAGTATAGATACCTAGTAAAAGCAGAAGTAGGCTACTGATTCAAACACTCTACTTGAGTAAAAGTAAAAAAGTACAGGATCTGAAGTGTACACAAAGTATAAAAGTAAAAACTAGCCCTTCTACCATCTGTCTCTGCAAGCTTAACTGAACCTCACATCATATTGCTATAGTATTTTCAAGACTATTACACCATTCAAACTTAAAATAAAATAAAAATACCAAATTAATTATCTTTAATTAGCATACATTTTAGGGATAATTCAGCCTTAAAGGATAAGCCTGGTCATTTTCTGTAGTGTGTTAAACACTCCCCATACAGAGCTTACAACCAACAATGAGCTGCTTCTGTTCAGTTGTCTGTCAGTGTCCAACCAGGATTACAGTAGTTGATTCATTTGTGCCATAGATGGCCATTGTTGTTTAAAAATGATTCAAAGCACATCGGTGAAACACACCACTGCACTGGGTGACATTTCTTCATTAAGAAACACAACCAGTATATTTATTATAACTTTTGCCACAAATGTTTCAAATGGCCGTAACTTTTTTTTTTACTGCGTCGGAAGTAGCAAGACTCAACTGCGCATGCGAGAGATCTCTGTGAAAGCACAAGGAGCTAGTGGAATGTAAACAAAGCAGAGAGCTTGTTATGAAGAAATGTTATCCAGTGCAGTGGTGTGCAAACATGAAAAATAAATAATTCCCCTAAAATGTATTAAAACTAAAAGTAATGAGCCTGATTTGACAATGTAAATATTTAAATAGTACAAAGTACAGGTAGTTGTGTTAAAATGTAGGTTGTAAAAGTAGAGTACAGATACCTGGAAAATCTACAGTATAGTAAAGTATTTGTACTGCGTTGCTTCCCACCTCTGAATGTAGACCTAGAATTTTGTTACATTGATTAAATCCAGGTGTGTTCCTCTGTCTTAGCTGGACCAGATGTGCCTGGATAAGAGACTCGCCCTGGGTGATGTTGTTGCAGCAGCAGAGTCACAAAAGCAGAACATCCAAGCAATTTTGGACCTTTTGGAGCAGTCTGGTCAAGAGGAGTCACCTCAGGCAGGCCAGTCCACATCAGTCCTCACAGCCCTTCACCTCATTAGCAGCGCTGTGGATGGTGAGAAACCATGCTCTGTGCAACAGCCTTTTATTATGTTGTCCATTACTTACTTGGAATGTTGAGGTTAGGAGGAGAAGTACATACAGTGGAGTTGTGGAGTTTCCACTGTATGCAGAATAACCTGAAAACCTTGTTCCGTTTTCATCCTGTATCTGGCTCTGTCTTTCAGAGATGTCAAGTGATTGTCTTGCTGCCTTGGGAATATGCTGCAGCCCCAAAGTGTTACAGGCATTGGAGCTACTGGTTAGTCAAGTTAGGTTTTATGAAATGATTACTGCACAACATGTTACGTCAGGGTTTTTTCTGCTCCACAGTGGTTTAGCTACTCAGTTTTTCCCTTCCACCTGTTCCAGGTGCAGTGTTTATCAGGAAAGAGAGAGCTGACCCTGAGCAGCACAGACCTGACTGCACTGACAGAGGAGATCTTTGAAACAACTGAACGTCTGTTTGCTGCCTCTAATGTGTCCCTGAAGAGGGATGGGGTCACAGTGAAGACAGAAATAAACCAGCCACAAGGAAACCTTCCTCTGGTCCTGTGTATCGCTGTCAGAGGTCTTGCCTCACTGGCCCACCGTGTTTGAACAAGAGACGTCGCTATATCCACCAGAAGCCTTAAATACCACGCTGAAATAAGGTAAAAGGGATCACACATAGTAGGTGTTATCACTGTTTTGTACTCTTTGGTGTGGTAGAATGTCCTCTAAAGCACAGGTGCATTTTACACTAGGGCACTAGTGATGAGTCGATTTAATGCTTTAGTCAGTAAATGTACAGTAGTTTATCGACAACAAATCCATTAAAATTATTTTTTTAAAATCCGTATCAGTCTTGGACAAAACCATTTTTAATCTGTTCAATTGTCTGTCCACTTGACACTGGGGCTGTCACTTTTTCCCAAAAATCACATAGGAACGATTTTCAAACTGACATGTAAATCGAACGCAACCTTCATAATAACCCCTCAAAAATAGCCTTGGGCTTAATATTTAATCAATAATATCACTAACTCTTGCTTCATTGGCTGATTTATGCGCTGCATCAGGAGAGCTTAGCTTAAGATATGACATGTGGCAGGGGTAGGACAGTCAGGTGACGCTGTAGAACGGACACTGCTCAACTCATCTGTGGTAATGTTAACTTCAGTGCCTCACTCAGGTAGCGAGATCCTCAGATGTGTTGTTGTAGACTTGACTTAGGCATCTGCTTTTCTGCAGAGGTGGCCATTTTAACTTGACACTGCTATGTGTCATTGTCCGCTTTGCCTGCTACTATCCTGCATTTTGTCCTTGCAAATAATGCCATTAGCTGACTTTACTTTACTGGTCGAGGTGATAGTGAATTTTAAGAACATCCTTTGCTGGAGCACAAGGCAAATTACATCAAACGGCCAGTTGTACTTATTGACATAGAGCAGATTTTTGAATTTGAACAGGTCATTACAGTTTGAAATTTATTTTCTTTTTAACCACGGTCAAACAAATGTTAGAAATTCAAATTACTGCTTTACATTAATTCTTGTTTCATGGACTATTTGTCAATAGCTTTTTGGCTCTTTATTGGCCTCTGTTATGCACTGCTTAATCTAATATCTATGAGTCTGGAAATCTTACATTTTAACACAAACCACTGCACTGCACTGTCTTCCAAAGCGATGTTTGTTTTTTTTAATGATTCAGCCACAGACCTCATCCTGAACTACTGTACTTGAGCAAATTGGTTTATGAATCTATAAAAATTTTCATGTTTTATTGCTCATGTCTTTGATTGTGGGAGCATTATTTCAGGTTTATTGGAAACGGTTTCAACTTGTAATTTTTTTTTTAATCTGTTTATCTATGGTGGAAAAAAGTATAAAAAAACATTTTTAAAAACTACCATTCCTGAGACATTTAATTCTCAAAAGAGCAAAGAAAAACCAATGTGGTTCATTAGAAAACACCAGTTATTTATTTGACATCTGGAAATACATCTTTTTTTTGAAATCTTGTAAATATTAAAATTATTTAAAACTGTTTTTAGTAATATCACATCAAAAGGGATGGTTCACTGAGATGCAGTACCCTGTTCAAGAGTCCTATGGACTACCACTAGTGTAGTCTTTGTCAGCACTAGTTGGACATTTTGTTGTACTAGTTGAACAGAAACTCCTACTAGTTGCTCTGTTTCAGCAACTACTGGCACTTTTGTCCAGCTAGTTCCAACAAAAGCTGTACTAGCACTGGGTGTCTTACTAGTAGGTCCAAAGTCCCAACTATTCAGCTTTTTGATGCACTAGTGATCCTTTGGACCTAATTAGTAATGCTGAATGTCTTACTAGTTAACCAGTGAGCTGCAAAAGCTCTGACATGTTAACTAGTAGCCTACAATTTGCACTTGTGCCATTAGTTAACAAGAAAGGTCAAAATGATGATTTTATTTTTTTAGCCTCACTATTTAACTAGTAGGCCAAAACAGGCCCTAACTAGTCAGCATTTTTGCCTTGACTAGTTAACATTTAAGCAGCAATATGCAACTCCTAGTTAACTAGTTGGAGTTCCTCAGGCCAACATGTTAACTAGTGCACAATATGCAAATGAAGCATGTGGGGAAAGACATTTGGGTCATTAGTTGTCGTTTAACTGGAGCGCTCAGTCAATGCATGCTTCTTCCCCGCCTCCTCATTAGCATTTTGTGCAACTAGTTGGAATATTTTGGCTTTTACTGGTTCAAATAGTGAATGTTTTGTGCTTTACTAGTTAAGTCCATGTTTGTCACAAGTTAACTAGTAAAGTTTGAGCCTCATTAGTTACCCAGTAAGGTCAAAGTGGCTTTAACTAGTCAGCTAGTGAAGACCAAAATGCTAACTAATGAGCATCAAGGTTCTCACTAGTTAACTAGTACAGAAAATTGTAGGCCACTAGTCAACTAGTGGCCTGAATCTGTGCATGACTAACATGTCAGAGCTTTTGCAGCTCACTAGTTAACTAGTAAGACATTCAGCATTACTAGTTAGGCCCAGAGGGCCACTAGTGTATCAAAGAGCTGAATAGTTGGGACTTTGGAGGTACTAGTATGACCCTCAGCGTTAGTAGTACATCTTATGTTGGAGCTAGCTTGACAAAAGTGCCAGCTGTTGCTGAAAAAGGGCGACTAGTAAGAGTTTCTGTTCATCTAGTACAACAAAATGTCCAACTAGTGATGACAAAGACCGAACTAAGTGGAGGAAAATGACACCTGGTATCAAGGATATAAAATAAATGCTATAACAACTTGCCATAGAAATACTGGAGGCATGTGCACTGTAAACACTGAGGTACTGTCCTTTTCATACAGCAAGCCCCCCTCATTTTGGCAGAAAAATACATTACCTATCTTACATATACAGATGTAAAATTGAACTAACAGGACATGGCAAAATCCACTTTTGTTTTAAAAAAAAAATCCTGGCACAAGGGCCAGTATGTTCCTCCAATACACCTGAATAAAAGCATTTTAAAAAAATATTTTGCAGATAAATACTGTAAGTACACTTCCTGTGTGTTGTCACTTGCATAGTGTGCTAGAAAGGAACGCACTGATTCGGATCAACGCAGCTTTGTGTGGGACCCACAAAGGGTTAATGTCCACTGCTTGGCCTGTGTGTGCAGTACAGTGTTGAATCCTCCTACCCTTCAGGTGTCCCCTTTCATCCCAGGTCGTGCAGCTCTGACATCAGTAGACCCAGCTGACTGGAACCCATTGCGGCTCTATGAATAATTGTTCTACGGCCTCATGCAGCTTGTCAAAGGCCTTGTCCAGATTGTCATTGACAATAGTCAGGTCAAAGTAGTGGCTATATGCCCGATGGATTCTTGCACTCTCATCTACTGTTTTCTTTAAATCATTCTCCTGTTATACAAAAAGATTCAGTCCATTAGGATAACAGAAGCAACAACCATTCATGAGTATAGAGTGCCATTATTAATGAGTCCTAAAACCCGGAACTAAGTTAGCATTGTTGCATTTCCTGTTCCCTAGCCTCCCCTCTTTTTTTTTTTTTTTCTTCTGAAAGGGTTTTTGGTGAGATGCCTGAAATAAGGTCTGTGGTTAACACAAGGCCAATTTAATTTCATGGTTTGTTCTATAATAAAAAAATACATTAATAAATACCCCACCCATGATTTTTAATGCTTTTACACAACTTAAAAAAGTAGTGGCTAAATGAATCTACAGAAGCTGAGACATTATACAAACAATAGCTTTTTACTTCTGGCTACTGTATTTGGGCTTCAAAAATCATAGAAGTGGTGTTCCCTTGTGACGATTATCTTGCTGAACAAGATGTTTAAGTGTTATTTGCTGTGGCTTATTTTCCACAATAATCCAAAAACCTATGGAAAAATCCTATTGGCTTTTTGTTGAGGGAACTAGGGCAGCACTAACATCTGGGTTGACCTACAAAAACAAAAAAAAGTCATCCCTACAGCACACTGTTGACCACTGAAAAGCCCATCATCATTTAAAAGTATCTAGAACCGTTAAATCCACTCAAAACTTACTGTAAGTAGTTTGGTAGTAAATCCAGCATCTACCACAGCTTTGTGCATAGCTCTTAGTGTGTCCAGTTCAGGAGCAGCAATAAACACCACAAATGGCATAAACTCAGCGGTCCTCAACATTTTCAGTGCCTGAACAGACAATATAATGTCACTGAAGTTTAAGGAAAAACAAATGTACACAGTGAAAGGGTGACTTTGACAAACCTGAGGGTTGACATCTAGAATGCAGGTACGACCCGTATGCACCACTTCATGGATAGAGTCAATCCTGGTGCCATAAAGGTTTCCATCATACTCGCCATGCTCCAGGTAACGGCTCTCCTTAATGTCCTTCTCCATCTCTTCCCGCGTCACAAAGCAGTATTTCTCACCATCTTTCTCCTCTTCTCTTGGATGCCGTGATGTGACTGTAAGCAAGAGTGAGGAAATGTGTTTCAAATACACAGGTAAGAAGTCTATTAGTACAGACAATGCAACACTCACAGGGCACAGTGGTTCCAAATAGCAGAGGATTCATAACAGTAAGTCTGTTCTTCAGGCTCCGCCTCCCAACTCCCTGGGCTCCAATGAGAACCAGTGTTTTCCTCTGGAATGGTGGCATCTTGGCTACTTCCTCATAAATCTGCAGCTCGTAACGGTCAAACTCTGCTCAAAACAATGTAGAGGCTCGATGAGTACTGTACTGTCATCCAGCACTACCTAAATGTAGGAAAAAGTAGAACCAGTGGTGATACAAACCTGCATTCTTGGCAGTGAGGTACATCGTTTTTTTCTTCTTTTTCTTTGCATTTCGTGTTCCACAGAGCATCCCTGAGCCACATACACAAAAGTGTCAGATCACCACAAGGTGGTGCTGAAGGCAAGGGTTCCCTGAATATCATGATAAACAAAAGTAGCTGGTATCTTGGTGTGAAAGAGTCAAGGTGATTTGTACTGACCGGTACTGGCAGTGTTCCAGTCTCTTCTTACAAAAGCCTTCCTCTTCTCTTCTAAGAACTGACTTGGGATAAGTCCAGTGGACCCACCCACTACTTTGCATGCCTATAGGGAAATGAGAGGAGTTCATAAACATTGAGAGGTGATTAGTTTCACAAAGTGAGCATATTGTGCCAGGTAACTGTCACCAACATCTCCAACTTCATCTCTAGCAGCTTTCAACAGTCAATATAATTTACCATACCTGCAAATTAGCCATGCAGCTATTGTCAAAGCACCACTGTGTTTCAACAGCTCAGAACAATATGTTCCTACTCACCTGCCACCAGTTGGGGTCTTCTTTGTTGACTACATAAAGGATGTCTCCCTTAGAGAAGGCCAGACCTGCCTCTTTACAAGGGATTAAGTTGTCCGTTTTGGGGTTATAGTTGAAGTGTGGCTTCACATAAACCTACAGTTTGGGGTGTGAACAAGACACTGTTTACAACACAAGACAGTTTAATTATACAGAGAACATAAACATAACAGAAGTAAATATACCTTAAATCCCCATTATGGTGTACAAACTGCATTACCTTTTTCTAAATCATTAACAAGGCCGTAGAACAAAGTAATATATCTGATTATTTAAAATTAAATGTTTAACTATAATAAGTGCATGTCCACTTCTTTTTTTGCCATATACTCATGTGATTACGTAGTTAAAAGCAAATTGCTTGTTTTTTCCCTTTCAAAACTGCTGCCATATGCGGATATGTTGGATAATCCTTAAATGACTTTCAGGACCAGTCCTTCTTGCTTCTTGCTGTCTGTGTTCAAAAACAGTGGGCTCAAGTGAGACAGATGAATATGGACGACATGCAACTTTGGAAAGATTCAATCATGAGATCTCCATGAGCAGTTTGTAAGATTTATAACTAAAATTTACATGTTCAGAATAAGGTTACAGGTTTAACATGCATGAATATTTTTTCACTTTACAGCTATAATTCACAAGTTGAAACTCTTACTACAACGGAAACTCAACAAACACAACCAAACAGTGGAGTGAAATCTCTGATACAAAGGTCAATGTCCAAACTAACCCTACATGCTGCTCCTCAGCATCTGCTGCTCTGTGTGTGTCTGTTACAGTAAGAAACAGAGGGGGTGTCCCAGTGAATAGAGTGGAGTATGTCTGAGATAGTGTGTAGTGATATTAATAGACACTCTGGGGGCTCAATTTTCAGAAGCTTGGTATTCTGAGATCACCCAGGTCAGTTAATCCTGGACAGGTCCACTATATCTCCTGAACACCCTCAATATACTAGCACATAACCATCAACACAGTGTATTCCTCTGCTATTTCCCCCCAGTTTCCTCACCTGTGGCAGCACTGGTGTTTCTCTGTAGCTGGGCAGAACCTTGAGTGTGATGGTCCCATTGCACTCCCTCAGCAACTCCTGAAGTTCATGGGGGTTGCTACCAACCTCATAACCGTTCACTTCACGGATTATGTCCCCTGTGTGCAGCATGCCCTGTCTGTCAATTGAGCCACCATGCAGGATCCGTGCAATCACCATCTCTCCCTGCTCCACACGGAACGTCACCCCCTGAAAGAGAGTCATTCCCGTATTATATATCCACACTTCATATTAATTATATAATTCACATAATTTTAGGGGAGGCCTAAAGAAACAGGCTGTTGTTGAGTTACTATGAAAAACTTAGTCGCTATGTTCCTACAGATGGTCAATAAAAGATGTCTTTATATCTTACCAGCAGCATTACATGTCTCCAAGACAGAGCTGTGGTTGATATTAATGCCTCGCTAACTTACCAGTGGTTCTCCAGTTTTCTTCTGGATGCCAATCACCCTTATAGCATCAGCTGGCATGAGTGAACTCATCAACAAGACGTTGCTGTTTGCAGCGTGAGGCATTTCATAGCACTTTGCAGCCACTTTGTCATGTGCCTCTATCAAAGAAAAGATATCTTAGACTACATTTCCGTCAGCTTTTTCTGAAGACAAGCATACAGCCATGCATTTCATCCACCAGTATACTAAAAATGCACAGTGACTGGCACTGCAACACATTTTGTATACTACCATGAAAGAGTGAAGACAAATCACTTTGCTGTCCACATTCCTCTGACACAAGCCTTTATATACAGACACTTAAGACTGCAATGACAGAAAACCAGTTGATAAATAGAGAAGATAAACCAGTCTTGTTCTTACCCTAGCAGCCACAACAGAGATTTATCACTGGTCAGAGACTACAAACTGCATCAGCAAATGTGTCGATTTACGGAAACAGTAAGTGACAGTCTTCTCTCCCTCACTTTACCCTCATAACTCAGCCTGCTATTGGCCCAAGGGTTACACCCCCACACTCCCGTGCTGCAGTTTGTAAGTGGGCAAGAATGTAAAGGGAGACAAAGAAGAAGAGCTGCTCAACAGGCATTTCAGAGAAAATTGGGCGGTGGTCAGAGTAAAAAGTTGATTTCCAGTCTTAATTTATTCTACAAATCTCTGGTCCGGTAAACTCCATTAAACCCAGTGGAAATTATGTACAAGAGGAAAGAGTTCTAAAGTACCTTAAAGTGAGGATCCTGAAGGATTTTGGCAAGTTCTGCAGCGGCAGCATCTTCTTCTGACAGATCGTTGAGAGAATCCAGGATCTCTGAGACCAGCTGGACATTATCATCCCGCACGGGTTGCAACTTCACTTCCTCAAGACACTCATGGGCCTACAAACAAAAAGATAGTTGAACAATATTTGTCCTAATGAATGGAGAATACATTTTATGAACAAAATAGGGATGGAGAAACTTATTACCAAATTAAATGGTAATTTGTAAAAGATCTACATTTTCGGCTGCGCAATTTTATTTTATTTTATTTTATTTTTTACTGTGTTCAATTTGGGTAACACAGCAATAGAAGTGCTACATTTGCAAACTTTATTCATGAGCACCTATTGCAGATCACAACATATGTGTTAATATCAAACATCTTATTTTTTGCATTGTTGTAATACACTCAGACTACTTGATGACATACAGTACTAAGCACATACAACAGTCAATAATACAATCCCCACTTTATTTATCATTTATGCAAAGATTACATGGATTAGTAAGTCTCATACTTTTCTTATGGAAATCTTTGGTTGTTTTATCATCCTCTGTTATCATAGTATTTTCACATGAGCACAGAAAAGGCTATTAACGCACGTGTACAACGAGCAGAAAAATATTAACAAGCCTTTCTATGCACTAATGTTAGCAAAAAGCACTGACTGGTGTTGATTCCATGGGGCAGACAGATTAAGAGAGATAGCAGTTGTTAAATAGACACCTGACAGGTGCACAACAAAGATAAAATGTTCTTCTTTCATGGTGATTTTGTATTTCAATACAAATCTATTTAGCAGTATAAAGCATTCTGGGGAGCCACTGTGCTATAGTGGTGCTGCTCAGATGTATGCTTAGTTTTATCAGCCTTACTGTCAGGTGTCCACCAATGAACACACACACACACACACACAGTCAGAAAATCAATGGTCATGAATTTAACTGATGATTTAGACCACAGTAACATTAGTATTCCTATGCAAACAAGTGACAGGAACATATTTCTGAGCACTTAAAAATCGAGGAAAAAAATCAGCTGCATATGATGCAAGATTTATATTGCAACCTATTTAAATTGACAATATATAATGTCAGGCTACTGTATGGATTTGCCAAAATAATGAGACAGGCAGCACACTTGTATTTCTGTTGAAGTAATGCTATTACAGGCTTCTGACACATGGTTATAGCCTAGTTTACCAACAGGTTGGAGCTTCTCTCATCAGTTAACCACCAGTGCATTTTTTTACAGTTGACGCATGCCAGCTTGCACTGCTAAAGAATATATATTTAGGATTCCTCTTATTTCTAATTCCTCATTGAAATGTTTTCCCAGTGCATTTTGTTAGCTTCCTAGTGACATTCAGATGAATGCATGTCACAGAGTCGGTACAAACAACCTTATACAGTACATCCGTGCAACAGGCAGTGCTGAAGTGAGTATTCTCCCTGACCACAGGAGAAAGTATTGAGCAAATTGCTGCTTGGCACACCAAAATGAGAAGAAGACAAAATAACGGAGGCCAGGGCTACCTGCCATTGTAATGCACATTGGCCGACAAAAAATAAACTAAAAACAAAGGTTTGACTAGAAGAGTCTCAGTCGACTGACGCACCTCTTGACTGATGATTCAAGTAGTCAACTTTAGGGGGTAGCTCTGTCGCACACTAACTCAAATTACAAAAGTGAGACACCTTCACAATACCATATTCTTTAAAGTACCACAGTGATAAACTGCAGAAAAATAAAAATTTGCAATTGGAATGTATGTAATCACATTCAAGGGACTCAATTGGATATGACCTTAAAACAGAACCTACATACAAGACCATCTACTAGGAAAAACATAATATCTAAGAAAACCAGGGCTCAGTTTGATAGAAACGATGACAGGCTTGCTTTTGTGACAGGTTTTCTGCAGAAATCTTTTAATTTATATATTGCCTATTGTAGGTGAACCCATTAACCTCTGCATTGGAGATTTTTTTTTTTAGGTAAGCCATTTGTTCATCATGATGTCAACCTCTTTTAGGGTGTGAAATTTTTATTTAATTTGTGCTAACAAGTACTTTTTCTGTCTAATCCCTGACACCAGAACAGCCGGCACACAGCAAGATTAGTTATTATCACAGGGTTTGTTTGCTGGTATTGTGAGGAGAGTTCTTTTATTTGAGAAGAGAAGACTAATAAAAGGATATTCCACAGTATACATCCATGTTCAACAAGAATATGTTTCATTTCAGTTTGTTTTCATCATCTTGGACTGTGATACATGTGGTAACGTGACATTTATTGCATCTTAATTTGTTTGGGTTCACAATGATATTTGCTCCTCCTCTCAATTACAGCTACAGCTTGTTGAGCAGAATATGAGTCTGGATATTTGTGCAAGCGTGTGTGGCTATAGGTGTGTGTATGCAGTGGTGCGCTAGAGCAGCTGCAGTGTGTGTGTGTGTGTGTGTGTGTGTGGATGCGTTTTTCCTGCTACATGGGGACTTCTTCCTGACTCCATACCAACTCATGAGGACCCATTTCACGGTGGGGACCTAAATTGAGGTCCCCATGGGCAAGAAATTGAATTTTAGGGTGGCAACATGGTTTAGGGTTAGGATGAGGTTAGGGTTAGGTTAAGGTTAAGGTCAGGGTTAGGGTTAGGCAAGTAGTGGTTCTGGTTAAGGGTAGGGTTAGTCTACAGGAAATGCATGTAAGTCAATGTAAAGTCCCCATGGACCACGAAACATAAACTGTGTGTTAACCTTACCTTGGCAAGGGAGCGAACAATTGGGCTCTCCATAATGCTTCTTAGGAAGATGAGGTCAGTATCTTTGGCTCCTGTACCTGGTGGCAGGTCTTTCAGGTTGTCCAATACCTGTTGCATGGCTATACAGAGAAATAAAAATATGTATCAAAGACTGGTCTAACAGAACCACTTTCTTTATTTCTCTGGAGCTTGACATTTCCTGCTTTGTAAATGCTGGCAAAAATCTTAGTGACAAACAAGGGTTATTGCCAGCATTAATGTGTAGAATTGCAAGCCAATGACAACACTGGTGGAAAAAAACCACAATGTGACTATAATAAAAGCTTATAGGACAAGAACAATAAGTGGGCAGTCAATCAATGGGCCAATTCACCAGCAACATCCCTCATTTCCATTGCAGCAGTAAACAGGCACACAGTCACAAAGGAATTGTTGTAGTAACAGATCTGTAGTGGCTGAGAGCACACAGCAAGAGACTGAAGCAAAAAATCCTGAGACACACACACACACACACACACACACACACACAGCTAGTAGCTTCACTAATCAGCCAGCTAAACAGCAAAATTCACAGAAAGCCACTACGAAAGAAACTGAAACCCTTGGCTGTTTTGAAAATACAGTGTCAAAAGGGTTTTTGTTGATAGGTGTGGTGATTGGCTTTCAAACACGCCCACACCACAGGCAGAGTAGCATTCAAATAGTAATGAACAGGGATGGGACAATATATCAAAACTCAATATATTGCAATACAAAACCATCAAAATATGTGCTGTTTTGTCCAGCAATATATAGTGTGGTCTCCATACACCAGTGACTTCATATTTTTTTGTAAATAACAGAACGTAGGTCAATATATCTGGTTGTTCTTGACATCATCAAACCAATACTAGAAAAGGGGGGAAAAGAGGAACAAAGTACAAGTATTCTACAGCTAGTCATATATTGTCATTGAATTTGTATTTGTATCATGGTTGAATCAAATTGTATTGAGAAAATGTCACATCATCCCATCCCCAGTAATGAACTGCTGCATTTTGTACACAACACTGCAACAGATTCTCTTCAAAGACTCCGTAGGGCTTTGTCTTACCTGAGCCCGATTTTGCACTGGCCACAGTCATGTTTATTATTCCTCAGCTCTGGGCGGTGAAACTCTTTAAACACGGTCAAAAGCCACCCAACTGCCTGCTTACAGAAACCAAAGCAACTGGAGGGCTGGGGAAGGTGGGAAACCCGCTCAAGTCAGTATACTGTATGCTAAAATCACCATGCAAACCACATCAGAAAAGCAAGTAAGCTGAAATTTTTGCCACAATGTACTGCTGCAAAAGTCATGGAAGCATAAGAGTCACAAAATAGCAACAGAAAACATCTGTTTTATGTACATGTTTGCACAGCAAGCACTTATGATTTAAGGGACTGACTGACAAACAGGGCCACTGAATGACAAAGGATGAGTCTCCTGTCCTTCTGGCTAAAAGCTGTGCCAGCCACACATAGAGAGGCCCCTGGGGACTCTCTGCACAAACATGCTCTCCAAATAGAGAGTAAAAACAGATCTGCCAGTACCTTAGCAGGTAGGTAGACAAACAAACACAGGCTTTCTGTAGACCTATCATTAATGCAGCATTATATTTCAGCTACACAATAAATACAGCTAAAGAGCCAAACACCAGCTACACAATGACAATAAATACAGCTAAAGAGCCAAACAAACATGATAGGCAAAAACTCACCTACAAGTTATGTTAAAATCATCGGTGCATCACTCTGTCACAGAGCCCCACATTTTCTACAAAAGACTCATCAGGTACCTTCGGACTGAAGAGAAAATTGGGAGTGTTAGGGTTATGAATAGATTAAATGGTCCCAGTCAGCCTAAAACCCCCCTTGGGTATTGACAGAAGCCGCTCATGCTGGTAACCCAGTGGTGCTTCATTGCTCAGACATCTCCTGTTCATTCAGTAGTATTGTTATACAACCATTCTGATTGGCCAAGTCAATCACATGACCAATGTCTGTTTAAAATGATTCATTACTACCACAAAGTCAGATGAAAACCCAGAAGAGAGGGACTGTGGAGCATTAAATTTGTTCTGTGGATTTAAAAAGATCAATAATTCCAAATACAATATACTGTATCTTTCATTTATATATATATATGGGACATATTTTTATGGCCTATTTCACTGAATTGATACGAAGAGTGCAACAAGAGTGTCCCATATGCAGAAACACATGGTTTTCAGCAATTTGTTTATAGAAGAAGAAGCTTTATTTTATTGTCATTGTAACATTGTGACACGTATAACGAAATTTTGCTTGGAGTCGAGGGCCCTGTGCCGGTGTATGCATACGCGCCGCCATCACGGTGAACTTGGTGGGTTCAGTGTCTTGCCCAAGGACATGTGGACTGCAGGCACTGAGATTTGAACCCTCAACCTGCCGGTTGGGAGTCGACTGCTGTCGACCACAGCACCACTGTCGCTCCCCAGTACATTAAGCCATTCATTTCAGCAGAATGAATGGATAAGTTGAAATCAATCATCATCCAATGGGCAAAATTCCTCTTTTCTGGTCATATACATAGACTGTATGATCATGCAAATTAAATATTTTTGTATGCTGGTACTTTTTGTACAACGAAACATGACATTTGAAGATGAAGTTATGATGGCCATTTTGGGCATTTTATAGATGCAATTAAACTGTTAATAAAAAATATAATCAGCATATTAATAAGTAAAATAATCATTAAAACACAGCACTAATAACTAAAATGACTACATTGAAAATCTGAGCAGCATGGACATTAATTTACCATTTGACAGATTATTCAACTACAAATTAGACTGATGGTTTTTGGAAATGCTATTTGATTTTCTTTCTTATGTCTGGACACGTTAATATTTAAATGAGACTTCTCTAATGAAATAATGCATATAGAATCTAACCGCACGTTATATGATATTAAATTAAAGATAGGGTGTTCTATAATGCCATTATATTGTATTATAATAGACAGCGTACACTGCCTCAAATTACGTTCTTATGAAATACATAGATGGGAAGTGAACGCTGAATGCTCATGGTGGCAGGTATTTTCGTAACAAACAGCAGCTCTTAAATTGTGGAAGTACACTAAAGTAACATTTTACAAACAAGGTTCTACAAGAAACTTTGGCTGCAGTGACGGTAACATTTGCCGTCACGCTACACGCGTAGTGGGCACGTGTAACCACTTCCAATATGAGGCAATTTAGCTAAAAGCCAAACTACTCATTGGTAGGTAATTAGCAGCGGTAAACAATGTTTAAGTTTTAACACATAATGATCGGGCAGTACATGAAATATGTTAAACTGCAGCTACATACTGACAGGTCGCCATTAACGTTAATCGTACCAGTGTTGTAAATAGGTGCTAGCACTGCTAGCTTGTAGCGCAGCTCCTACAGGCATATGTCAATGCTAACGACTAGCAGCAGACAGCGTGTAGGTCAAAAATATTTCAGTCTAATACTTGAAACCATAACCACAAACTAACAGACAAGCTAGCAAAATTTACCCAGATAACTTCGTATGTTAGTATTTTTAGTAGCAAATTTATTTTGCAGCATAGCTCAGTAGTAGCAGCAGCAGCAGCACGGAGATACCGTTAGCTCAGTTCAGTCATTAAGATAGCTAGTTAGTCGCTAACAGTAATATCATGTGGCTTAAGCTAGCTAGCTAATGATAACTGGTAGTACAGAGAATCTGGAGGGTGCCATGGCGACACAGTTGTTTAATTGTCTAGAGAAAATACTTGATACATTACCTAATTTAGTGCGTGTCATCCAGTAACGCTTTCATGGTTCCCTTTATTTCAGAATTTCGCCATTCTGGATCACTGTCGTATAAGACATTTGATAGTGCATTTCCAGTGAGCCTACCTCCAGACCACGCAGGCGGTGCCGTGCTAACAACATCCAACGCTGTTCAACCTATATCTAGCCCACTGAATTCCCGCACAACCCACCCATATAATTTACTGTAAACTTTACTCCGAAATTAATACCGGTAGCTAACAAAATGTGTGTGGAGGCAAACCGCATTCATGGTTCTTCAGCTATTGTTTACCCATCAAATCCGATGAGCTCTGTTAAATACCCTGTGCTTACTTTTGATTGCTTACTGAATGTGGTTCTCGAAGATTGTTGTCAGTTGTGTGTAACATTTCTTTTGCAGCTCTGGCAAATCTTCATCATAACAATACATTTTATTGCATACCAAGTGATACATTTATTTCACGAGGAATTAATATTATAGAGCTTAGTAATATTACCTTTGATATAATATACACATGATCAATAAATATTTCTGTCAACCAGCACCAAGCAATCTGGTTTAAGGCAGGGTGCAGATATATCCCACCAGGCTTGATAAAACAAGTGAAATAAATTCAAAACTGCAGAGGATTCAAATTACAATAATTTTTATCCAACATGGAACATTGGCAGCAGACATGAATTTGCCTCACTTCATCAGTAGAGGGCACTGTTACTCCATCAATTGAACTAAATCAAACCCAGTCAAGGTGGTGCATGTGGAGCCAGGTGAGCCAGTGTGTCGATAGACCTACATATCAATCATATTTTCATATACAGTAGCAATGGCAACATTACAGACCAAAGTAGCTGCATTACACAACATATATTGCATGCAACAGTTCATTTCATGTGAGTAGCAGACACAACAACAGCTTTGAAATCACAGCTTCTCCAACATCACCACAGTGGCAGCTCTTCATATCTACAACATAAGGAAGTCACAATTTAAGTAAAATGTGTGTCTTATATAAACTCTTGTATAAAATGTTTTCTTGTCCCTATTCAAACACAAGAGGAATGTACTGTTTTAGAAACCTCTCTCGATGAGATTGATAGGATAAATATCACCACTACTTCATCACAGTACAGAGTAAAGTTAACACTTTTTTGATGCTTTAAACATAAACTGTAGATTATCAGATTTCCAAGAATATGACATGGCTGTTTTAATGAATTCCACTATATGATTGCATGGCTTTTTTTTCCCCATTGTATAAAGTTTACTGTACAATACTTTACATTATATTGCATTAAACTGACATAGTGCAAATGAGTAAACAAATTACAATAAACCAGTGGATATTACTGTAGGATACAGCTTTACAAAAATTACAAAAATAATTTACCTGACATAGTTAGATCCTGGAATACTTTCTGTGCTCTCCCTCAACAACACATCTGAAAATACAGTATCTGGAGTGTCTCTTTTCCCATACCTGCACATAAAAAAGAGTCAAGCAACATATCAATATCTCTTTGCATGTACTATCATGATTTTTTGAACCTACAGTATTTTATAGAGTTTTAAAAACTAACCTCTGCCTTGTAATGAGGTTGATGTAGTGTCTTAGTGCAGAATAATATTTGGCAAGCTCCTCAGGGGGTGCACCTTCCCGGGGACTGAGAGGTTTGGCTGGATATGCATCTATGCCAGAGTGAATACAAGCCAACAGGTAGAGAGCCAGAATACACAGCGACATCTCAGTGCTGGAGCGAATCCTGGTTAACAGGGAAAATAAATAGTCAAAATTTATAGTAAAAAATAATCTAACAATGACTCACTGGCAAAATCAGAAACATGCTCAATGATGAGTTGGTACTATAGTTCATAAACTGTAAAAAATTATGTTATTTTATCATAAATGCTATTCCCTGTCTTTCAATTAAAATAGTAAGATTTTCAATTTAAGGTAAGAAATAAAGATTTAGCTTACATTATGATGTAATGCTGTAGTTGACTATCTCGGAGTTCAAGGCACCTCTGCTAGATTCCTAATGTTGCCCCAGTTTTATATCATGTGTCACGTGGGGAGGGAACGTTATTTCATCTGCTTTTAGGGTACTCTTGAGAAATACCTACTGCCTCATTAGCTTAGTAATGTCTAAATGGCAAGGCAGTAAAACAAATGGAGCTACTCTGTTACATTATTGTCAAAAGACCAGAATAAGTACGTTTTCGGAGATTTGGGTAAAATGTTAAATCTTTGACTCGGTAGTATACAGGTTCTGTTTTTCTTAATATATTAAAATGATCTGCATTACCAATTTACTGCATGTGTGTTTTGAGAATTTAATTACTCCAACATTACATCACCAAAATATTATTTCACAACACGATCAACTCTTATGCAGCAAGCAGTGAGTTTATTTATACATTAAATCCTGCATAATTGATTTAGGTCAATTTTCAGTGTAGTTATTTTATCCTTAATTTTTCTCATTCCTACATTAAACACAGTAAGAAGGTGAGTAGAAAAGAGTATTTGATCACAGCACATTTACTCTTTTGTTCAAAAAGCAGTATAAGTGGAGTGATCTTGCAAAAGTACTGGCACAAGCTGAGTCAGAGTCTAAAACCTTTATTCATTTAAAACGTTCACTTAAGAGTCACAACCAGCATGATACACTTCAATAAAACTGATGATGTGTAACTTCAAATGGCTGATGATGGTCTGTTGTTTACACATTCCGTTGATATATGATAGGATACCCCATGTGTTTGGAAAGATTGTTTTGCTTTATGGAGAAATGCAGTGGGTGTCTTAATTAAAAAGCAAAAACATTCATTAATTATAAATTAACAATCTGAAATACATAATCCAGCTGTTAGCACGAAAAAAAGGGAAACCGTAGTCCATGACATCACATGATGATACCTGCAGTGTCTTGGAATTACATTAATCAATTAAATATTTAACAGTTGTAACTCAGAGGGAAAATAAAGCCTCAAAAGTCTCAAACTCAATAAATGTTGTGAAAGTAAATCTATTAATTTTGCATTGTCATATATTATATTACTTCTCACATATCTAATCAATAAAAATGCAAAACGGTGCACTACAAATCCAGTATGGACTGACAGACCATAGTCTTAAGACATTAACTAAACCATTTTGGCCAAACCAGCAAGCACAGCTCCAAGTTGCATCAAACCGTACTAGAAAGAGAAGTAAATTGCACAAACCCCTAAACTTTCAGTGCCAGTTGATAGAGGGCACAAAAGCTTTCAGCCTTTAAATGGTAAGATGACTTTGATGACAACTATTTTCTTTGAAGAGCGCTCATCATGACATTTGGCAGTAGGTTAGTGTTGTTGTTTCCCATGACAGTCATAAGAGAAGCCCAGAGCAACAGCACAGTCTTAGCAAGAGAAGTTCTGCCTTACGCTGAATATCCAGATACTATGTGTCTAAATTACTTGTTTTATTCAACAAAAAGTGCTTACATTTTATTAAAAGGATCTTATTGATAGCATTAATCCAAATATCATTCCCAGGCTATCTTGTTAATGCTCAATATAATGCTGTATTCCGGAGACCAAAGCAATAAAACACTATCCAAATTTGTAAATGAATATGCAGTGAAAAATATAATTCACCTTTAATTCCTCAAGAGCAGCTACTCCTCCAATCTTGAGGAGCTTAGGGGTGAATTATATTGTGTGCCTGCAACAATAAAAATAAAAAATATATTCAGTTATACTTTACAAATATGTAGTAGTCGTACATTTTTTATTTTGGGAGTTTACTTGCTGAAGAACCAATAATTAATCACATTTATTTCCAATATAATGGATGTGTTGTATGTAGAATGGTGAACAATAAACGCCTGATTTAAATACCCAGTCACATCTGCATGCATGGTACCTTGTTCACAAATGAAGGCCAGGTGGGTAAATCACAGAGTCCTTTAGGTGTCATGTCTGCTATACTTGATCTCCTTGGTAATAACTCCTCATAAACATCCACCACCAAGAGAGAACCAAAGACAGCTGCCAAATGCCAGCCCACTTGCAGGGCACAGACTGATTCCAAAGAACATACATATTTATTCCTTTTACTTGTTTTTGTATACTGCAAATACATTACAGCCCAGAAGGAAAGTGGGCTTTAAGAATGAAGATGAAAGACTTGGATGGGGGTTGTAGGAAGAAAATGATTCCCAGTCAGCTTCATATCAGGGAGTAATGAACAGCTATCGACACATACACTGATGGAATTATTATTGCATACACAAATAAAGGGTGATAAGCTTTATAACTAACATATGGTAATGTGTTAGTTACATTTATTTCAGTGCAAACCATGTGGTACAAACAAATGCAATTAGATTTGGCATTTTGTGCCATCTAGTGTACTTTATATATCAATAAATCAACTATGCAAGGCCAATACTCTGCCAATCCTGTTTCCAGAAGCTAACTACTCATGGATTTATTCACAGTCTTATCACAGAGCATATTAACATCATGGACATTAATGGGTGCACAACCTTTATTAAAACGGCTGTACAGTTAATGAGAACACTGGAGTCAGACACCAAACTCACATTTTTCTTTCATACACTTCCCCCTAAATACCTCATCCACTAAAAACCAGTTGGTTTGATAGAGCTGAGACACAAAAGCTCTAAAACCTAATCAACAAATTGTATTAAACAGTCATTTTCTTACAGTCCTACACACAGTATCTGTACAAAGCATGCAAACAGTGCAATTTAAAATGGTTATTTGGCAGCTTGTCTCTTTGGTTAAATGATAAATATTTAAGTATGATCCATTTTAGGGTAGCAGGAACCTCTCCTACAATATATGAAGCAGTTGATTCATTATTATCTTCATCATTCAGTGTATCTGAACATTAGTGTGAGTCACATTTGTCATTTTCAGACAATGTGACCATAAACAATCACATCAAGAGGCATAAAACATTCAAACACCAGCTTCGGTGCAGGCTTCTCTTGCTTCATTACTTTTTACATTTAGCTAATATTCTGATCTGACATGATGATGAGCAAGTTAATGAGATGGAATGGTCACTTGCTAAGCAAGTGGTCATGGAAGTTATGACAATGTAGTGTAGTGCGTATACAGGCTCTGATGCAGTATCTTTGCTGTTGCTGGTGTTTGGTTCTACAATTAGGCTCTGATTCTCTCGAGTTATGCTCGTCTACAGATATTTGAAGCTTAATTTTTAAAAACTGCACTTGTTAATGTTTGAATACATTTCAAGGGCTTTTGTTCATTTAATATAAATATTATAAAAGAATGATATTGATTTTATTCAAAGTGCTGTACAAGCTCTGAATTGAACACATGCTGACTAATCCTACTTTGGCCAACACCTGCTCTTTTCCTGGAAGCAACAGTCTTCTTGTTTGATTTGTTCATAAGCATCAACTGCAGTGGTTTTCTGTGGTAATCCTATATAATCAATTCTGTGTGAATGTGTTCCTAAAGCGTACTCTTTGCAGACAAACTGCTCTGTAAGTTGGACCTCCAGTGGAAGGTGACAAAGCACACTTACTGAAAAAATGTGCTTCAGTACTTCTTTTAGAGGTACACATTATTTTTTTTAAATGTCAGTAATTGTAACACTCTAAAATGGGATATTTTCTTGGTACTTTTACCTTTGATACACACTATGTGCAATTTATTACTAGACTTTTAAATGCAGGACTTCTACTTTTAAAGGGACAAAATGTACTTTTAAACTTCCAGCTGTACTTAAAAATTTCAATACTTTTTTGGCTATTGGTTGGTTCAAGTGTTTTTTAACACCAACTCAATAATTTGGTGCTGCGGGTGTTTGCAGGGACAAAACTGCAATAGTAATAGCGGCCATTCTTATAAATCTATAGCAAACTTGGTTCTGTATGGTCAGATTGTAAAACTGCAATCTATGCATATCTTTAAAACAACTCTAGTCTAGCTGAGGAAGTTGTTAATTCAAACAGCAGAACTACCAAGATGTCAGTACTAATCAAAACTGACCAAGCAGCCACTGATTTAAAGGCAAATGGGAAAAAACAAGTTCCAAATAAAAGACATTTAATACTATAGGATTACATTTAATCATAACAAAACAGTGTTAGAGTATTTATCACTATATCATCTTTACATACAGGAACAAAAATGAGTTTAAGGCACTTTTTGATAATAATTTTGATGATTTGCATATTTGCGTGCCATTGTACAACTAAAACCTTTGTCAGGGCAAATATTTACTTTCCAGTAAATGTAGCTGAGCACTCAAAAAAATAGAGAATAATTTTAGAATATCTAGAACTGTATTTAAAAGTATTAATAAACAAAATATGTTCAACAATTTTTCCTCAGCAAATAAAACAAAAAAAATCATTCAAATATAATTGTTTTACAAATACCATGAGATGTCCTGTAAAGGTGAAATAATAGAAAATGGAGTATACATTTATCCATGTGAGGGGGCAATAATTCCTTCAGTACAGTATAATTGTTGCATAATAGACAAATGCATTTAAAAATTCCTTTTATTTCTCCCCACAGAAACAGGAACGGATACATCCAATGTTACAAAGATGCAGTAAAGCCTGTCAACAAATTCAACCATTTTTCTTGTGCTGTCACTTTGTAACCTCGGCATCATATATGAAGTCTTCTGGTAGGGTCTCAACAGGCATGCTCTTCAGCTGCTCGTCATAGTTTCGGAGAGTCCAGAGTTTCTCCAGTTCATACGCTTCTCTGGTCTCTGGTAGCATGAAGTGAACAACGATATTCCCTGAAACAGAGAAAGGAGGAGGAAAGCGAACACCACAGGTAAATACATTAACAAACATCAGTTTACAGTGCTCAGCATAGATGAGTACACCCCTTTTGAAAATATTTTAATCAATATCTCAATGAACACAAGAACAATTTCCAAAATTTTGACAAAACTGAGTTGTATAGAACATTAGTTTAGCTTATTACATCAAAGTAAGGTTAATAATATAACTTAGATTACAAAATCTTCAGTTTTACTCAAATTAGTTACTGCAAAAATGAATACACCCCACAACAAAAACTACTCCATCTAGTATTTTGTATGACGTCCATGATTTGTGAGGACAGAACCAAGTCTTAAAGCCATGGATTGAACAAGTTGGCAACATATTGCAACATCTATCTTTCCCATTTTTCAAGAACAACCTCTTTTAGAGCTTGGATGCTGTATGGAGAGTGATGCTCAACACGTCTCTTCAGAATTCCCCATAGGTGTTCGGTTGGGTTCAGATCAGGAGACGTACTTGGCCACTGAATCACTTTCATCCTGTTCTTCTTCAGAAATGCAACAGTGGCCTTAGATGTGTGTTTTGGATTATTGTCTATTGTCATTTTAGAAAAGTGCATGACGCCCAAGGGCATAGAGTGATGGTAGCATCTTCTCTTTCAATACAGAGAAGTACATCTGTGAATTCATGATAGCATCAATGAAATGCAGCTCCCCAACACCAGCAGCACTCATGCAGCCCCACAGAAGGACAATGCCACCACCATGTTTCACTGTAGGCCCCATGCATTTTTCTTTGTACTCCTCACCTTTGCGACGCCATACATTTTTGAAGGCATCGGTTCCAAAACCATTTATCTTGGTCTCATCACTCCAGAGTCCCAGTAGTCTTCCTCTTTTTCAGCATGGGTGCTGGCAAATTCTAGGTGGGCTTTTTTTTGTGCATGGGCTTTAGGAGAGGCTTCCTTCGTGGACGACACCCACATATGCCATTCCTCTGCAGTGTACACCGTATTGTGTCACGGGAAACAATCACCTGTTTAGATTTCTACTTCTTTAGCTAACCACAGTGAACTTGCATGGTGATTTTCTTCAACCCTTCTCATCAGAAGATGCACCTGTCGAGGAGTTGACATCCACAGACGGCCTGGACGTCTCTGTGAGATGATTGCAGTTCCATGTTTGTTAAATGTTTGTATCACTTTTGCTACAATATTCTGACTGATAGGTAAAGCTTTGCTGATCTTCTTGTAGCCTTCATCTTTCTTGTGTAAAGAAATGATTTTCCTTCTAAGGCCTTCTGACATTTCTCTTCCATGTGGTGCCATTGCTGAGAGCATGAAATGGGAAGGGGGTTTCTTTGTTAAGTAACTCTCTTTTATAATCAACTGTCTGCTGGACAACTATTTAATGAATAATTAGACTCACCTGTAGTTGAATTCTTGTTCATAAGGATTTTGTTGTTTTAGCTTTGCTTCCAAGACTTTCGTTGGGGTGTATTCATTATTGCAACATGGTCTTGAATAGGAAAAAAACTTTGTGTGTACACATTAACAAATCTTGGTTGCAATCACTGGCCCGCATTTGTGGGAGTATTTTGTATTATAGTGTCCCATAGAAAATGTTGATTCTGAAAGGAAACTACAGGTTTTCTGACAAATCTGTTGGGGTGTACTCATTTATGCTGAGCACTGCATATACAAAAACATCTGTCTACACTGGACACTTGAAGAGAGGGATCATTACGTTTTACATACCAAAGTCAATGCACATCCAGTCCTCTGCATCCTTTCCTTCTATCTTGACATGTGGATCTCCATCTTTTTTTAGAAATTTGTACTGGAGGAAAAGAATCATGTAAACATTTAAAGAGCAAATACAGGTTGCACACAACAACATATAACAAAGAGAAAATAACCATTAGTTACCACTTTGATGGCATACAGTGCCATTGCGTTGAGGTGTCGTGGTGATATGCCACTGACGACAATGAAGTACTCTGCATATTTGATCTGCTCTGGAACTTTGATCACACAGAGGTCCACTGCATTTTCTTGACACAGCAGTGACACCAGCACATCAAGATTGAAAGTCTCTGAGGGTCCTGGAGAAGAAAAAAAATCTCTAACAATAATAACAACAAGCCAGAGATATACACAGATGCTGCATCTTTTTATTCAATTGGGGGCTGCTGGATCATTTCATACATTAAAGTGACTAGGTCTGCACTAAATATGAATTAATATGCTGATTATTTTCTGACTAATCACTGCATTGTTCTTTCTACAGCTTATTAGCTGAAATGGTTAATCCATTGGTCAAATCAACAATTTAAATAATCAGCCTCTATATTAGTAATTTATAACGTCATTTCTTGAAAAATACCAAACAAATGCTGGTTTCTGCTTCTCAGTGTTAGGATCTGCACAGTGCTGGTAAAATTAGACTACAGTGGAAAACCCTGTCTAAACACCACATCTTAGTATGTATTTACCGAATAATTATATTGTTTAAAAGTAAATCTGTGTGTCAAAGAACATACTACTTTTAAAAAAGGTATCTAAAATGTGTACTCTAATTTTTGTTTAAATTATAACGCATTCGCTACAACTGATTCAATTTCATCAATTCAAGGAGTCTGGATATTAAAGCTATACATATAGTATACTGCAGTTTTCTAAAGGAAAAGTGTGTACTTGTCCTTTAATGGTAGTGCGTTTCATTCTATGGTTTACCCCCAGTGCAGACAAGACGGGCTATGGTTATAATACCGTTAGCTAGCCATATCTGGACAAAATAAGACAGTCATAAGCGGTAGTTAGCCATTTTCACTTCTGATAGTTTATATACAATAACAATTAGTCGATTAATTAGGAAGATATTCAGCAAATCATAATTAAAAGAGTAGTTAGTTACAGCCCTAACAAATTCCTGGAATCATCCAATCGTTGGTATTCCCCCTTCAGGTGACTTTCAGGACAGATAAATTATTAAAAGAACGACACGTTTTCTGTCTATCAAGCAACGTTGATTAAGTACTTATTTCTGCTCTCAAACGAAACCCCTACTTACTTTTACTTTGGGTTCCGTCTATCTTATGTGACTCCTCTTGAAACGCGCCAGCGTATTTCTCTGAATTAGTGATTTCACTATACACCTCTGAATAACATCGTTTTGTATCTAGATGAGAAGAGAAAACACGACTCCCGTGTTGACATGAGGCTAAATTTGCTGTACTGTGTCGTCGCAAACACAAACTATCACGCCAAGCCTTGGCGACAGAACAGATGCCTCCAAAAACACCGATTTGTTCCACTAAAACTCTGCTTTTAATTACCGAAGACACCAGTTTCTTAGAACGAGTGAAAATGCTCATGATTTTAGCTCGTATACCACCAAAACATAGCTTGATTGCTATCCACGAGCCTATCAAAGACTAAAGCTTAAAAAAAAAAAAAAAAGCGCTTCTCGCCCTTGGACTTTGATTGGTTCCTCAGTCTTCTTTGTTGGTTTTTTGGAATTACTGATTGGTTCATACGTCTTATTCGTTGGCTACTGAGCATTGGTCGAATTTGATGAAGAGTACATCCTATCGACCACAAATAGTATTGACCTCAGAACTCGTACTGTTTAATTTCGCAAATCAGTATTCAGTATGCTGCATTTCACAAGGCAGAATTATAGGATGTTCCTTGAAAACAAACTTTGCTTTAGCCTGGTGATACTGTGAAACAAAGCCTCAATATCAGTTTTACAAATACGATTCAGTCATGCATGTTTGATATCTGCAGCGGTGGAAAAGCAGGCTACTCAGATCTCTTGTTAAACAAGATCACTTCGAGAGAGCCTGTACCTCTGCCAAGGCACAACATTCGCTCACGCAAATGGGTCCCTTATGAAAAATGAAATCTAGAACAATATAATGTGAGTCCTAAGACCCTTGATCCAGATAATCCTTTAGGGTATGACAGGTATTGTGCATCTTATCTGAACATTACAGGGTTCTATCTACATTATAGGTCAAGTTACGGCAGAAAATATGCATTAAACTGGGTTTTTAGTGTTAACTTTAAAGGGCCTCAGTTCCGGAATCCAGATCAGATCCAGATTGAATATGGTCTGGTGACAGACTTTGCCACCCTACATACTGTATGTGCATCCATTTTAAAAGAAAAAATGATTTTGATAACTTTTGGAGATATAATTTATTTTTTAAATTACTCCATGTTAAAGACAGGATTTTTTTTTTTTTAATTATTGTGACCTTTAACTTTTTCAGCCAAAATCTAATCACTTGGTCCTCAGCAATACCTACCAAGTATGTTGGTGATCCATCCAGCTGTTTGTCCATAACCCTGCTGACCAACAGACACATGTACCCAAAAACATAACCTCCTTGGCAGAAGTAATAAAAAACACTAATATAACAGTGTAGAAATCTTCTGTACAAGTAACACTCATATATTCAAAACTTCTCTTAAGTATAGGTACGTAGTATTAACATCAAAATATACTTAAAGTGCCTAAAATTAAAGAATTCATTAAGCAGAATGGCCCATTTCAGAATAATAGATTATACTGCATTAAAATTACAGTTACCAGCTACAGTCACTTTAATGCTGCAGCTGGTAAAGTGGGTCTAATTTAACCCCCTCGTTAGTCAAGCAAGCAAGCGACAATAAATCAAGCCCCATAAAATACTGACTCAGATCCACTAGTTTAAGGCATTAAAATTAAGAAACTAATGAATGCAAAGAGGTCCATGTATGAGGAGCAGCCAAAAAAAATCTTGCTTGCTAAACTCAGTTTTAATCTTTGGTATAGTCAATATTACCATGTTCTGTAATCAAAATGCATAAAAGCATCCAACTTTCCATGTGAGTGCACAAATAAGCCAGTAAAAGGCCAAGAATGGCTTTATGAATAAAATAACACCAAAAGAGCCAGTGCTGTGTTGGAGCAGCATAATAAATATTTGTTTTATCAGCATAAAGATGGACACTTGAATTTTGTACATGCCGACCAAATTATTCTGTTTAGATGCAAAACAATAAGGGCATCAATTTGTTTTTTTTTTCCAGAATTAAAAACCTAAAAACTATGTATTTAAATAAAAAATAAATCAATACCTCCCCATGAACAAGCCCTAATGTATAAAACAATATACATCATAAAACCCATATTAATTTCACCTGAGATATAACCTTACTGGTGAGTACAGTGATTCTGAAATCACAAGTGCTAGTATGTAAACAAAATATTATTGTGCCTGTATGTCAATGTATATTTCTGTAGATTGTGTTCCCTTTAACTCCATGTGACGCTGGGCTCACGTTAGTCCTCATTCATCAATGCAGTCCGAGTTCATTGTCACATTCAGTCTCAGACCCACAGGAATATGGTCAGTGAGTCCAGCCAACTGAGTTATCAAGGTCTCTGCTTCAATTTCCTGGATAGAAACAAAGAGAGTCTAAGGTTTTCATCAGGGTTCAAATCATACTGTGGCCTTTCCTCACACATATAGCTGAGACCAGGATTGTATTGAAGCTCATTCCATGTTCAGATCTGTGTTCAGACTTCATTAAGCTAACACCAACTCTGATGCCAAATATTATAAAGGAAAAAATGGAAACATCACTATGGGGTTGTGTTGAGATGAGATGCTGAACTAAATGTGCTGTCAGTACGAATGGTCCAGTAGCCAAATGATGAAAATCACTGATCTAACACCACATGTATACACAGTACTTATAGACACACAAATATTGAAAGAAACCCATGAGCCATGCTAAATAAAAAAATCCCTGCACATGTCCTGATCAATCATGTTACAGGAATTATTTACAGCACATCATGTCAGAGATGTGCACATATATTTAAAGTAACCAATAACAGGACATTGGATTTTAATTAATTAAGTTTAAAAACCCCAACTGAACTTGAGTTTTTGCTGAAACAGGTGAGCTCACATCTCTTTTGGGGGAGCAAAGCACCCCTGGCTACCCTATAATTTGAATGCCGGTTTGCATGATGCTTTATCCTTTTTTAATGGGAGATATTTTCAAACCTACAGAGGTAATGTAGAAAAAAGGACTAGAGTAGAAGAATAAGTAAAACACACAGGGACACATACTGTTCTGCAGTGCTTTGAAATGGTGCTTTCACGGTACAGGATATAGTCAATCCGCCTTCCAATCCATGGCTGACACAAACACAGAGAGAAGACAGTGAATCTTCAAATCATTTTAGTGAATACACTGAATCAGGTCTTCTAGTCATGTCACAGTGTACTGAAGACAGGGGAACTGGGCATACCTTTGTAGATTCTCTGGGGTATTTACGTCATCTTCATACAAGGTGGGCTGTTCCAGCAGAGTACCTTTAAGCAAACCACTGTTAACACCATATGATTTGGGAACATTTGTCATATAATGTAGGTATACAGCGTTTTTGTGGTGTAATGGGTTGAAATTATACAAACCAATGGCCCAGGGCTTCTCTTTTCCAGGTCCTGCCCTACAAGGATCTCTGTACTCCTCAAACAAACAGTGATTCTGTTCCCGTGCGTCGCCTAAATGCAGAGAAAAACCTGTATCAGTACTGACAAGAAACATTTGATGAAGTTGCTTTTAGATAAAAATTACAAAAGAACAGAAAACTGTGATAAACAGATGCACCAGGTGAGCAGTTGTCAAAGTTGAAGTCACCACAGAGCACATCAAAAGCAACATCCTCATCAGGCTGCCTGTAGGCGGTTTGAAAATCACCCGTCCATTTAGTGATTCTGTTCCCGTACGTCGTCTAAATGCAGAGAAAAATCTGTATCAGTACTGACAAGAAACATTTGATGAAGTTGCTTTTAGATAAAAATTACAAAATAATAGAAAACTGTGATAAACAGATGCACCAGGTGAGCAGTTGTCAAAGTTGAAATCACCACAGAGCACATCAAAAGCAACATCCTCATCAGGCTGCCTGTAGGCGGTTTGAAAATCACCCGTCCATTTGGTTATCATATTCAACTGCTCATAGCGAATTTGCCCATCACCTAATAAGAGAACACAGAACGGTTATCATGAACTTGACATGTCCTTGTTTCCTCAAAGGTAAAAGCAAAATTTTTCATTAATCTCAGCCACTGACTGTATACGATGGACTTCCCACCACCACCACTTCCCTCCACCTTAAAAAAGTGAAGCCAAAATACAGGGGCTGCCATCTTGCCTTTTTGTATCCACAGTAGTGACCAGAAGTTCAATGACAGCATCAGTCCACCACTGAAAAACTCTTTCTTTCCCTCTGCCATCAGACTCCTAAACAGCTGAGGAGTTTGTTACCAGGAAATATGTCATGTACTGTCGACCTGCACTCTTTACATTCTCAGTTTGCAGATGCATAATTGCACATTGACTGTTGACTGCTGCACATGCTGCTCCCATACAGCATCACTTCTCCTATTATATTCTAATATATTTTTATTATACTGCTGCATTGCTGCTTAAAGTGCCTTAGATTTTGTGTTGCTTATTTACTTTATATTTCATTTGTATTTTGTGGCATTCATGTGGACGGCAAAGTAAGAATTTCATTGCACAGAGAAACACGTTTCCTAACTGTGCATATGACAAATAAACACTCTGACCTTTGACCTTGACAAAAGTTGTCTGTCCACCATATATTCAGTCAGTGATCTGAGGAGACTAATTCCTAAAGAGTGACTTGCCCTCTGGTGCATCAAGGTGTGTGCAGTTAATATATCCAACCACTTTCTTCCGTTTCTGATTCTGCCCAATTAGTACCTGACAATATCAAAAACAATCATTACATAATTTTAGTATTACAAAATATTGATTTGTTAATATGAATTCTGAAAAACAAAAAAGATAACAACAGAAACTGATATTGGTCTAATACAAGGTACCTTGGCAGAAAGGAGGCCTTTAGCAGCTAGTGCATCTTCCCCACGACAGTTGGGAAAGCAGCAGTACCGGGCCTCGAGCACTGGGAATCGGCTGGCTAGGAACAACCCACTGTTCATGAACTTGAAAGAGGAACATCTGCATGGTGGGTAGCAGGCATACACACCAACATCATACAGTATGTGTCCAAACACAGGTCTTAATGCTTGGATGAGTTTCTGTGCAGCCCCCTTATCAAACACCTCCTCCAGGCACACTATGTCCACACTGGCTGGAAACATTGACGACACTTCCCAGGGTACATCATCCTGCTGGTGGAGACCCTGGGAGAGCAAAGCTCGGTGGGCACTCCGGTGAACCATTTGGCCCTGCTGGTTCGGGTTCTGATTGGAACTGAGGAGGACAGAAGGTGACTCGGCCCAGGACTCTTCTGTAACATCACATGGCATTGCAACATTTCCTGTAGATGAATCCAAATAATGATTCTCTAGGGGCTGAGCCTGTCTATCCGTAGCACCATATGTGTATGAGTTAGCTACAGGAAATATACTGCTGGAGGGGCTGAGCGTACCACAGCTGCTGGGGGAATCAACAAAGATTTGGATATCAGGTCGACACACACCCTGCACAATGTGCTGACCAATAGCAGCCGCCCTCCGCTGGGTGTGTGCTAGGTTGTTAAAGCGAGATAAGCCTTCAGGCAAAAGACACACGTTGGCTGTTGTACCACAGCTGCTGGGAGAATCAGCAAAGCTGTGGATATCAGGTCGACACACACCCTGCACAATGTGCTGACCAATAGCAGCCGCCCTCCGCAAACCAGACAGTGATGGAGGTGCAGAGAACAGACTCGATGATTCCTCTGTAGAACTCTATCAGCTGCTCCTGGTTAGAAGGACAATTAATCTCTGCCAGGGACTACACAGTCCCAGCAATGTAGGGATGCCATGGTGCTTGGCATTCCATCTATGTCCCACATACAGTAGGTGACTTGAGGTCACTGTGTGTGCAAAGTGCATTCACCGGTGCGATGTTTGTAAGCTCACATCACAGTCGTGCTGGTCAACGGTGCTCCATCTTAATCAGGCTGTGTGTGCAAAGTGTGTGAGCAATCAGTAGGCGGCGCCAATGAGTGGGTGCACCACAGGTGTGAAGTCGTAGTAGTGCTTCGGTACCTTTTTATTGTGGCTGTCATGGATCCAAGTGGCCCTCTCTGTGACCTTTACAGCCGTGTGGGTTGTGAGGAGAACCTGGAATGGACCCATCCTGCGACTCCTTCTCAGGTATCTGACAACAATATAGTCTCCTGGGTGGGTGTCATGTAGGCTCTGCTCTGCTGGTTGGGGCAGTGCTGCTTTCACCAGCAAATGCAAGATTAACATAGAAGCAGACAGGTTGACACAATACTGCATCATGCTATCCCCATATTAAGCAGAGGTCAATGATGTGACTTGCTGGGAAAAGCCTATCCCAGTGTCATTATCATACATGTACCCACATCTGTCTTTATGATTATGCAAACAACCCTATCTACTCTTTCCTCACCCCTGTGTGTGTATGTGTTGCGTGTGTCTGGTTTCTGTTCATCTTTACCCAATTGCAATGTGTATGTCTTACAAAGTATCATGTACCATGGCATACGTGCTTATCAAAAATGCATCTCAACCTTCTACTCAAACATGTTTTTGTAACTAGATGTTCTTGGAGCCTAGACAGAAAAGCTCCAAAAGTTCATAATGACCGACAGTATTTGTCCCTTTCCGGTATAAGCTTAAATCACCTCATCAAGGACACACTTCTCAAACAATGAATAAACACACAATATTGAGTGAAAGAATACACACTAATGTATAACATATTTCTACACGTTTGCATACTACATACTGTTTTTATAGTCAACATACATACGTATGAAACCAAGCCTCTCTTAGATATAGATGCGTGTTAACTGCTCATACCTCCTCCCATCCAGAGTATTACTCTCTTACCAAAACAGAAACCACCTGCTTTTCAAAGACACACAACCTCCAACTCAGGAGCTACCTATCATACTGATACAATTCCCACTGTAGAATATTCCTCTAACCATAATGTCTTCATTAAAATTATAAAGATACATCATTATATAATTGTGAGGTGATATGAAAAATACATGCCTTTAAATGAGTTTTGAATGATTTTCACTACAATCACATTTAAAGGCAGCCAAGAGAAAAACATGGTGTTATCAGCCCTTAATCCAGCTGTCACCATCTGCACAGCGTTGCAACTGCTGGAAAAAAATGGTCTACAGTAAAAACACTGTCTGAACACCGCACCTTTGTACGTATTTTACCAATTCATTATACTGTTTAAAAGTAAATAGGTATGTCAAAAGCAAAACTTAACACAAACATCTATCTAAAAGGTGTGCTGCAATTTGTCATTATAAAATATTATCTCTTATTTATACTGCATTCGTTTCACGCCAGTGACTTCGGTGCCGGTCCCAAGCCTGGATAAATAGAGAGGGTATGTCAGGAAGGGCATCCGGAGTAAAAAACGTGCCAAATTTGCTCTTGCGAATCGGGCTAACAGAAACAGCCGGAAGTAGAGTAGTAGATGTATAATGGATTCACGTCTGATTCAGTCCTATCAATTCAAAGAGTCTTCAAATTAACACGATGTTAAGTAGGTTTCTACGGGAAAACGGACAATAATATAAGCACGGTTTTAGTGTGGATTTGTCCTTTAACGATAGTGTGCTTCATTCAAGGGTTCACTCCCAATGCAGACTTCGGACTGGTTCTGAATATAACGTTAGCTGACTAGTTAATCAATTACGGTTGAACAAAAACAGGACAGTGATATACAGCGAGAAGTTACAAACCCTCGAAACACCTATAGTGATCACAAACCATGCAAACATACATTCAACCATCATGTTACGTTAATCTTTTAATGGTAATGGGATGCAAGCTTTCTGTCTATTTTGTCAGCTCTGCAGGTTGTTTAGTTAAACAGCGCTACCCTCATCGCCCAGGACAGGTATGCTAAGCTAACAGTTTCACTTACGATTCAAAAAAGACTACACTACCGATGGTATGTATGGCCACGTCACGTAGCTGTATCTCTTTAACACTTAGTGAATTATGATTCTTTATAACACTACATCTTTTATACAGTTTACGTGTGCTATAGTTATCACAAAAGAAAGCTGTCACCTGTCCTGTTGCACAGCTAGCTTACATAGAGCAGTCCATATACTCTTACCTTAGCATGAAAACTTGGATGGCTTGTCTGATGAATCCACACAGCGATTAGTGTATTACTTTTATTTATTAGCTTGTCATATGTTCGGATCAACCCCAAAGCTTTTAGTTCGAAAACCCACTAACCAGATCAGTAAAATAGTTTACCCACCCTGCCTTCAGCCACTCTTTATACTGGCATCACTAAGCCACACCCTAATGGCAATGCCATGGTGTCTGCAGGTGATCTTCTAACCTGAGGTGAACAACCTGGTAGGCTATCTGTTATAACCATTTGTATACATAGTTATAACTGTTGAGTAGGAGAGATACTGTAACCAAGTGAGTGCATAACTCGTATAATAAATTACAGCTAATTATGAAGTGACTTCTGCTTATCTTTTACCGAATTAAACACTAGAAGACAATATGAATAAAGAGTAAGTCACATCATTATAAATAGCCTATGTGTTTAAATAGGCTATCCCATTACTAAAATTTTTGCATTGATTGATTTATTGGAAAATGTATGGTGAAAATGCCATTACAATTCATTAAACCAATATAACCATTGCTGGAGAAATACTGGAGCAGATCCGCAAGAGTCTGCTGGAGGGCCCCATCAGCCCTGATGGACTTTTTGGCCCACACCAAAATACTAATACTACAGTGTAGAAATCTTCTGTTACAAGTAACAATCATACTGTATATTCAAATTTTCTCTTAAGAAAAGTACAGGTACATAAGTATTAGCATCAAAATATACTTAAAGTTCCTAAAATAAAAGCATGGCCCATTTCAGAATAATGTATATTATTGCATTAAAATTACAGTTACCAGCTACAGCTGGTCACCTTAATGCTGCAGCTGGCAAAGTGGGTCTAATTTTGAAGGAAAATCCCAGGCATTTTCAAAGATATGTAAAAATACAGCTTTGGAAAAGAATCTACAACACTTGTGTTTTACAATACAAATAAACCCATAACACCCCCTCATTAGTCAAGCAAGCAACTGATAATAAATCAAGACCCATAAAATACTGTCGGTATGATCATTGCTGCTGGTGTGTGATCACCATGGAGCCAGCTAGGAATAAAAAGAATTGATTCTGCATCCCTTGTATTTATTCACACCCTGTCCTAGTTACATACGCACATATTACATCCTAGCACATCCTCTGTTTCCCCAAGCACGCCTTCTTCCGCCTACTACACTACATATGTTCATAGACTGGACTGACTGACCAATCAATCTTTACAAACGTTTTCACATCATTCACATAAAGCCTAGTTACACCTAATTCACATAATTCAGACGTTGTTCTGCTGCATACTATTTCGCCACTAGATGGCACTAAACCGAACCTTTGAATGAATGAACCAATACTCGATACAAATAATGAAGTGGTTCGATACAGGTGTCATTGTGTCAATTGGACATCACTACAGAACAGAATTGTCAAAGTACACGATCCGGGTCAAAAACAGGAAATACCAAAACCAAAAACCGCTGGAAAGTCAGAGCTGGAGTGTAGAACAATCTGGCAACACCTCTGGTGGACGCTGCCTAAATGGGGCGAAAACAGGTGCAAACACTTAAGAGCAGGTGAAACTAATGTGAGTGATGACTAAAGTAAAAAGACCGAGGCTGTGGTGAAAACAAAAACAGGAAGCAATGTCAAAATAAAAGCACGACAACGGAAACAGGTGGGACCGAATCATGACAATAGGAGTTTAAAAGAGTTACAGCACAGTAGCAGGCAATAAGATATAACCATTAAGATCATCAATAATTGTCTTGATTAGCCTACATTCTAAATAAATCAACTACTATTTCTAAACATCAATCTAAAATGATTATACAGATTAAAATCATTATAAGTGAGCTCTCAATTACTGAATAAAAGTTAAAGGATTTCTCACTGTGACTATAGTCTTCAGTTGGTTAGCGTTGTTGGATTGTGGCATTTTGTTGAAAATCATCATTTCTCCATAGCTCTTCTTTTAGGCAGTAATTCAGAGTTTTCCTTGCTGAATTGAGAAGCCTTTGAACAGTTCAATCGTCCCACGTTAACTTCCCGCTCTACGTAGTGGCTCTATTGGTGGTTTCTTCGTGCTCCTGGGGAAGCTGCAGCCTATTAAGTTTTTCGGCTACCTTTCGTCTGTCTCTCGGTCTTCTGGAAGTCAGAAAATCAACCGGGCAGAACCTACAGCTGCAACCGCTGGACCAGCCGTAGTTCTTCTATCCAACCAAATGTCACAGTTTGTAGTTAATACCTTTTTAGGCATGCACAGTATTGTTCCTCAGAATTGATTTTGCATATTACTTACTCTCAATGTTCAGTACATTGCTTGTAACTTACTTCCCTTCACCGTGATTCAGCAGTATAACTTACCTTTTTTAGCTACTCACACACTTCACTTTAAATGTAAAATCACTTTTCATAATTTTTTTCTAATACAATCATTTCACATTTTATCCTTACACATTCACTAATGATTATTTCAAACAAAACACACACATAAATCATCTTAAGATTATCCTTATTGTAAATATCTTAAATTTCTACTTTATGCTTTTTGCCATAGCATTTAAATTATTTTTCTCTCTCTTCCAGTTCCTCTTGCTGTTTCTTCTGTCTCTTCTCCAGCCCCAGTTTGGCTTCTCATTCGTCCCCCACCACATATTCTGCACTCTTCCATTCCTTTATACTTTCCAACTCCTTTTGCCATTTTCTTCCTTTTCTTCAACATCAGATCCTGCCTGCCATTCATCCACCACCAAATACTCTGCATCCTCTTCCATCTCTTCCCGGCAGGAGTCTGCTGATTCCATTGGGCCGGGTGTGATATGGGAATACAAGCTTTCCCTAAACTTCTCCATAACCTCTTCATCCTGCACTGAAATATTCTCACGAGTGCCGTTCCTTCTGGCTCATGCAGCTCATTCTCATCCCCTTTTGGGGGATATTTGTGTTATCAGCATAAAGATGGATACTTGAATTTTGCACATATTGGCCAAATTGGTCTGTTTAGATGCAAAACAATAAGGGCATCAATTTGGTTTTATGTCCAGAATTAAAAACCTAAAACCTATATATTAAAAAAATAAATCAATACCTCCCCATGA